GTGCGTGGCACTAGCCAGCAGGTAAGCGCCTGCCTTCTGCTCTCCTTCAGCGTGTGGAGAGGGGTCCCCTTGTCCCCCAGGAATGCTCTCCTTGTCCTGTTGCTGGTTCCCCTCCTGTGCTCTGAGAATCGGGAATCCCCCCCGGCCCCTCCTCAGGCTTGGGTTTGGAAGCCCCCTACGCTGGCACAGAGGGTGGCTCTGGTTTAACCCCACCTGTTTTGGGGTGTTCTGTGTGTGTGTGTGTGTGTGGCTGGGGGGGTCGCAGCCTTTCCTCTGTGCCTCAGTGTCTTGCTGGAGTTTTGCCACCCCACCCCACCTGGAGCTACCCATTCTGTTGGGGATGAACCCCTGAGAACCCACAAATCTCTAGTCCCTGCTGGGCGGTGGCTTTGTTCCCTTTTGTCACACCTGGCAGGGGGACAGCCATCCTCACCCTGCAGCCCCCAGCCCCCCAGGGTGGCTCTGGGAACCGGCTGTCCCCTCCCTGCGGCAGAGGGGAAGATGCTGAAAACCTCTGGCTGTGCCCCACAGCCCCGTGGGGGGCTGGTGTTGGGGGACTGCAGTTCATTCCAGGGACCTAGTGCTGGGTGGAGGGTGCATATTCCCCCCTCCTTCCCCTGCTCCTCCATCCTTTCATACACCCCCACACGCATCTCCCACCCTCCCTGCGGGTGCCCCTGGGTGCCCAGCACCGCAGCACACAGCTCCCATCAGCTTGGGCTCAGCACCCTGTTGCCCCTCCAAGACTCCCCCTTGGCTTTACCCCCACCAAGGAGCCGAGCCTAAAAACTTCAGCATGGCCAGGCTTTGCCTTGAGGACCCTCCCCGCGCTGTTTTCTGCAGTGGTGATTACATGCAGCTCCTGCCGCTGCTGCTTGCTCTCCCTGCAACTTGTTGGTTAACTTGCCGGCTCCTCCAGTGAGAGCTCGCCCTGGTGACAAGCAGCGATGCCTTGGTCTGGTGCAACAGGTACCATGGAGAAACCCTCTGGTGAGGCACAGGGACGCAAAACAGGTCACCCACCCTGCTGAGCATCATTGGAGAAATAGTCCCCTTGCAGCTCCAATGTGTCAGGTTGAGTCTCAGGTTGATGTCAGGAAGTCTTCACTGAAAGGGTTCTCAGGCAATGGAATGGGCTGACTAGGGAGGTGGTCACCGTCCCTGGAGGTGTTTGAAAGATGGCTAGATGGGCTGCTGGGAGATATGGTTTAGTAGTAGACAGGTACGGTTGGACTCAATGATCTCAGAGGTCTTTTCCAACCAGGAGATTCTATGATTTTACCAGGTAGGGGCTGGAGAACTGCCAAGCCCCCAGAGTTTTGGGGTTACCTGGGGGTGAAGGGACAGCTTGGTGGGGCTGAATTCCCCCTGGCAACCTTCAATCTGCCTCTGGTGGCAGTGCCCACTGGGTGGGTGGCTGCAGGAGCATCGGTGCAGTAGCGAGGACAGGGATGTGGCAGGGCAGCGGCCAGGCCAGCCTGCTTGCTTTTCCAGAATACACCAAATTATTCATGTGCATTTTCAGCACGGTGTGGGAGGACTCTCGCCCCTTCGGCTTTCATTTAAAGCAAGAAGGAGCCGGGGTGCTGCCGCTGGCCCGGTGCTCCCCGTGTGGGCTGAGGTCCCGTGCCGGTGTGATGTCTCATCTCCAGGCAGCTGCTGTCTCCTAGAGACTAGAGCTTCACCACCACGCGGTAAAAACTCCCCAGCGTTATTCTTTCCTGAAATTTGCAATGCATGAGGGAGTTGGGCTCATTTTATATTGTTTTTCCAGAAGCAAGTGACATGTTCTCACATGAGTGCTGGGAACAGACGTGCTCCAGTTATGGGAACTGAGTGTCCCTGGCTGTCCCCTGCCTGGCTGCCATCTCTTTCTAAGAAACTCATCCCACCTAGAGCTCCTCTGCACCACTTGAGGACTTGGGGATGGACAAAGCTTTTTGGTGATGAGTTTGGTGAGGTTGGCTAAGCAAGTTGTTCCCATCCTTGTAGTTGTAGCCTAGCACATGCAGCTGATGTCTTTTGGTAGGTCCAGGGAAAAATGTGTGAGCATTTCAGCTGCCTGGCACGGAGCCCATGGCATCACTCCTGGGTGAGGGCATGGGTGGTTTGGGGATGAAAACGTTGGATTTTGGCCACGGGCAATGAGAGGAGGTGGCCAGTACTGGTGCTCTAGGTTGGAACGGGCACGGCACCAAGGAAAGCCAAGGGTGCTGGGTTGGAGCACGGGGAGGAGTGGAGGTTCTTCTTCATCCAGCTCCAGTTGACTAGGTAATAGGACTAAAAATAACTGGTGATTCAGGCCTGTATATCTGCTGGGTAACTGTATAATTATAACCAGCAGCCTCTGCAGTTTGGCTTCCCAGTGTAAATAGGGATGATGCATGGAGGGGAAAAAGAAGGAGAAATACGAGAAACTGGGATTGGGATGCAGCTCTGGGGGGAGACGAGTCTTTGCCGAGTTCCTCACTGGAAAGCCCAGTGCATTACCTCCACTGGAGCTGCTCTTTTTACTGGTCCTACCCAAAATGTGAGGCAGCTGCTGTTTTGGCTGTAGGAACATCTACTCGTCTTCTCCTTCAGAAATACTGCCTGCTCTCCTCCTGCTGACGGCCAGGCCTTCAACCCTGATTTCATTTGGTTGGCGGCCTGGAAAGCTGCAATTCAGTTAGCACATGAGATGGGCTGCAGCTCATCTATATCTGCTCCGTTCTTCATCCCTTTAATCACATTTGACCTGGATAAGATCCCTCTCCTGCCCTAGAAAGGCCAGATGATACTGTGTGGCTCTGGCTATGTCCCCAAGGACAGCCTCCGGCTGCAGGCGTATGCTGGCTGCTGTACCTGATGGACAAGGATGCCCTTGGGGACCTTGCTGTTCCTTACAGAGAGGGATTTCTCCTATCTCAGCCCCTTTGGGGACCAAATCTAGTGTTAGGTTGGCCAAGAGCAACTGAGGTGTCTGCAAAGTCCATCACGCGTGGGGATTTTGCAATGTGGGGCGCAAACCCGTGCGTGCCCAAAACGTTTTGCTCATGGTGACCCCAACTCTGACTCAGCCACCTCTGATGCTGCGTGGGCACTGCCCCTTGGGGACCCTGGCAGTGTTACGCCCCATCCAGGCAAGCATCTTCTGCACCTTGGCTTTTACCCAGTCAATATTTGGGCAGGTTTTACCTCCCTGCGGGAAGAGATGCACCATGTTGTGCCATCCTTAGGCAGCTCCATCCTTGTGCTCCCCAAGAACATATGTATGTTATTTTCTCCTCCAAGGCTGTTTTCTGTGCCCTTCATTCATCAGATTTTAATTTTTTTTAAATTTTTTTGGGGAGGGGCGAGTAGGTGTAATGGCAGGTCCATCTTTTTGACAGCCGGGAAGAGCGAGGCTGCCTGTCAGATGGTGAATTTAAACAGAGGCAGCTGTTGTCATGGTGACGCCAAGTTGCATCCTGTTGCTGTGGCAACCAAAGTTAAAAAACTGATGTTAAGGCAGGAAAATCACATGATGTGGTTCTTTTTTGTTTAAAAAAAAAAAAAAAAAAGAAAAAGGAGAGGAGAGAGAGATGATTTCCAGTTTTTAAGCGCAGGATGAGGTGGGGGAGAAGGAGATGCTTCTCCACAGAGCTGTTTGCACGTGGTGAGTGGACACTCCACATCCCTACCAGGGTGGCTGCAGTGTGGTCTGTCAGCATCCTGTCCCTCTGGACATCACTTTCTGTTGACACCAGCAAAGCATGGATGGGCTGGGAGCGCAGGGATGGGGACAGTCCTGAGGAGCCACAGCTCTACTGTTACTTGAAGACACTTATCTGCTGGGGGGGAGATTCCCCTGTCTTTGGGGACAAGCCAGGAAGGTGCAGTAGGGTTGGGGAACCCCAGAGTTGAATTTGAACTTTTCACAGTCTTTGCTCCATTTGGCATTTTGGGTTTTTCTTGGAAAACAGCCTTGGAGAGGAAGGGCTTGCTTTCCTGCTGGGGTGTGGAGCTGAGAGGAGTGGGCTTGGGAAGCCCTAGGGATGGGGATGTTGAAGAGGTGGGTCTTTCTTTTCATGGTGGCCTGGGTGGACAGGATGTGGGAAGGTGTGTGTGAGGGCAGGCAGCAGTGGTGGGGTTGGGACCAGCCAGATGAAGTCCACAGATGTAGGAGCTGGAGGTCCCTCTCGTTGACACCTAGGGAGCAGGGAAAGCTGTTCAGTGCAGCAAGTCCTGGAAGAAGCCTGGGGAGTGATGAGAAATGGAGACTTAAGTTTCTAGGAGATGTTTGGGCTGGGCTGGGTGATGCAGGCAGGGTGAGGGGTTAAATCA